TTTTGACTAGTGAATATCCAATAAAAACACATTTAATGGCCCGGGGGTCAATTTTACCCCTGAGGTGAGTATGAATATGAACATAGGCAGAACAACCAAAAATTTTATAGGAAAGAATATGAAGAATATGAGATTGTGGAAAGGCCTTGAGGATGATATCAAAGGGTGTTCGAAATGAGAGAGTTCGGGAGGGCATACGGTTTATCAAGTATGCAGCGGTGAGAATAGTCTCTCCCTAAAGAAATTTTGGAATGTGAGTAGTGAACATGATGGATCGAGCTACTTCAAGAATGTGTCTATTTTTTCGTTCAGGTACGTCATTTTATTGTGGAGTATTGACACAGGAACTTTGATGGATAATGTCGTAATCAGAAAAATATTGGCTCAAAGTGGTTTCAAAGTATCCACACCCATTGTCTGACCTCACTATTTGGATGTTGGTGTGAAATTGATTTTGAATCATAATGTGAAATTTTTTAAAGATTTAGCCAACTTCAGATTTTTCTTTCATGAGAAAAATGCAGGTAATTCTAGTGTGATCATTAACAAAAGATACAAACCATTTTGTCCTTATAATATTTGTGACTCGAGAGGGACCCCATACATCACTATAAAATTAACGAAAAAGGTTTTGTGGGTTTATAAACTGAACTAGGAAATGAATTTCGAATATGTTTGGATAGTTGACATACTTCACATTGAAAGAAAGTTGAATTTTTATTTCGAAACAAAGCAGGAAATAGTTTTTTCAAGTATACGAAGTTAGGATGTCCTAAACGGTAATGCCATAACATGATAGGACATTCCATATTTAAGTTGTTTACAGATTAAGAATTTGTACATACTGCATGATGAGTTTGTCTATTAAGAGAAGAGTTGTCAGCTTGCAGTAGATAAAGACCTGAATCCATACTAGCATTGCCAATCGTCTTCCCCGAGTCTAAGTCCTGAAATTCACACAGTTTAAAGTTAAATGTAGCAACACAATTCAAGTTCTGTGATAATTTACTTCCTGACAGGAGATTGCAATCCAAATTTGGAACATATAGCACAGAGTACAAA